CGTGTCATAGCCAGGGCTGGATTAACCCCTTAGTGGGCCCTAGGCATTAGGGCCCCTACTTTTTCACTCAATAATTAAAATATGACAAATAAGCACAACTGGGCCCCTTCTTCACTTAGGGCCCTAGGCATGTGCCTAGTTTGCCTATGCATTAATCCGCCCCTGGTCATGGCTGTACCACCTTTTTCCTGCATTGTTGCACCTGTGGGCTGTTGCCTGTGAAAGCTCAGGTTTCTCTGAACCAGTTAGTCTCCAAGGTGTACCCACCCTACCTTCTGTCTGGCTTTAGACTGACATGGCTGACCACCTCCTTTCATGTGGGCGGGAGAATGACCTCTCAGAATCAGGGTTTTCCCTGTTGGCCTATTGTGTGAGAGCCTGTGTCCGAGACCTGCATTCAGGTCTCTTGGTGAGAACTGGATGCTGGTCTTGCCTGGAGCTGTATTTTGCACAACTAACAAATGATACGGGCTTGAACTTTGAATTGGTTGTGATCTGTAAGTACTTACACAAGGAGAATATATTTGACATTATAGGGCTCCATGAGCTAGCAAATTGAGGAATAATAAGATCTAAGGCTGGAAGCTGAAATTCAAAACCATCAAATTGGAAAGAAGATGCAGCTTAAACACCGAGGGTATTTAACCACTGGAACAGATTACCAAGAAAAGTGGCAAACTCATTGTCACTTGGAGTTGCTAAATGAAGACTGGATGGCTTTCAAACAAGTGAACTCCACTTCGACAACCGGTTATTGGATTTGATAATGTTCAGTGATGTAAAATGGAAAAAGAGTGCCCTGTATTGCAGGAATTACCTGTTGAAATTCTATGGGCTATGAAGAAGTCTAATCCATTTTAAATGTGGGTGCGCTTCTCGCACATGCGTGTATGTGTGCATGCATACATGCACACGCATCCGGCGCGAGATGAACAAACTCCATTGTTTTACACCACACGAGGAAATGGCCCACAATTTGTATTTGCACTGGTGATGTTTCCCTAGCAGCAAACCCAAATAGAAATTTCCTTTTCTCTTTTTTTGTATTCTCCTCTCTTTAGTTAGACTGGTTGACGCATAAGAACAGACATAATGTTCTTTGAAAGAAAAAAACCCTGTAATTAACGGAGGATTTTTTGGCAGGAATAACATTGTGGCTTCTTTCTCCTCTTCATTTTTTTTTTTAACTTTTTCATTTAACATATTTTATCAGAATGAAATGCTTTAACGAGCAAAGAATTACGGCTGATCCCAGCTCAACCAGATAGGACTGCATTTCGAGCTATGTGGCTCCCATCAAGCTGCATTCACCTTTGCTATGATTTAAACTTCATTCAGGCACAGCCTTGCTAAAAATACTGACAAGTAACTAATCAACTTCCATAAAATGGAATTTTTCCCTTCACAATAGAAAGCAGGAGTAGGAGGGAACCCAAAAGATTTGCCTATGCATTTCAAATTAGTCTGACCTATAAAAACGCAAACAGCAAGTAGTGGGATAAAAATGTACTTCTAGTGATTCTTTTTTTTTTTTTGGTAGATGTTCAGGTTTTCATGCTGTTCCATACTTCATCCTGGATATACAGGGACCATTCACAGATATCATAATGTATGGACTTCTTTTCATTACCTACACCACCATCTACAATGCACGCTCTTCAGCGCTCTCTGGACCAAAGGAAAGTTCAGAGTCTAGGAACTATCGTTAGCTCGGAAAGCTTTACAAAGCCTACGAGAGAAAAATCCTGTGACACTGCCTCCTTTCACACAAATGGGTTCAAGGTCTCACCTTTACATGTGCTATTTTTGCTCTAGTGTGTGAAACAGATAGAAGAAAAAAAATCCAACTCCTAATGAGCATTCGAAAATCAGACCAGAACTTTTCACCTGTGATCTGGTCATCCATGCTCTGGTCATGCTGATCTGGTCACCTACACGTATTAGCAAAACACCCCAGGGCAATCTGAAGTTTATGGGGGCTGAAATCAGTGCACGGTTCTGGTCTTTAAAAACACAGATTCATCGTATTCTGCCTAGTTTAAGAACAAAGTCTAGTTAGTGAACTTATAACTTGTGCCAGAGCTCACCCAAACCCCACTGACTGGCACTACCAAATGGGCCAGTGCACCCAGCGAAAACCAAAAATAGCTAAGACGAGCCAAAAACATCAGGCCTTCTTGTTTAATGCTGCTCATGTATGGCTTCCCCCTCCATTAAATCATGTCCTGGGCTTTATGAGAAAAAAGAAACCCACCACATTTTAAACCATGGCTAAATGTTATACCGGCTATACAAGAGATCCTGAAAACATATTGGGGGCTATTTCTGTGATTTGGTAGGAGTCTGTCTGTTGGCATTGTCCAGCTGGTTTCTTCAAGGTTGGTGGTAGTTTAAGGAATGGCTGTCCAGCTTCAAAGCAGCCAGGGGCCACACTAGAGAGGACCGTGTGCTGTGCAGGCTGTGCTAGGGTGAGCCATGAGTTCCCAAGCTCCCAGCACCACACTCCATGCCTGCATGGCCCCAGACTCATCATCCTCTCCCTGTGCTCTCCATGGTCCTGCCCCCTGGAGCAGCTGGAGGAGGATGGGGGAGCTCTGAAACCCTGGTTGCCGAAATAGCCGGAGAGAAGAAGCAACAGCTGAGCAGGAGCTTGGGGGCCACGACTGAACCCCTTGTAGGCCCCATGCACCCCACGGGGTACTAGTTGGACAGCCCTGATTTAAGGTATGAAGAGTGAGTCCTCTGTATATAAAAGAAAACAAGCGCTACATTCACAAACACGGAAATATTCACTTTCTGGATTTCTCCAGTCTCCTTTCCACACCACGAGGACAAGCGTTTCAGTGATGTTAGCCGCTGTAAAGTGGGACGTTAGCAGTAATCATGTTAATATCTGCTGAAGTTGAATAAGAAGGGGTCAAGTCATCCAGTCGTCGCTCAAGCAAAACTCGCGCAGAAGTCGATGTAAAGCATTTCACTTGGCAATTAGCCTGCTCATTCTGTAACACTTATTTCCTGGACTTCAGGAAAAAACCCAAACGATCCCTTTGGTTCAATTAATTGTTTCAGTTACTGAGTCATTCTCCTCTTAACACATTTGAGTGACTCAACTAAAGATCAATATGGCACAGCATTAAAGGACCAGGCTGTTCTGAAATTGTATAGTACTGTGCTTTCCCCACTTATGTACCTCAGCAGTGGACAGGCACAATTTGGTCCTTAATCCTGTGTTGCATTTCATGGACCCAATTTTCAGAAACTGAAGCCTGAGATCTAATTCACATGTTCACTGAATACCATCACACGTGCGTGCTGCTAACCATATGCTTCCCTAGTATTTTTCATATCACAGGAACTCCAAATGCAATAGAAACTCCTTTTTAAAAAAACAACAAACAACTAGGCACCAGGTTAACTGAGTTCTAATATTTTATCCCACATCATCTCTGCACCGTCTGCCACAACGTTGTTCCAACAACCCAACTGGACCCAACACATTCTGAGTTGAAGAGGTCCTCTCCATTACAGATATTGCATGAGTTGTTATCAAGTTTCCACATGCTTTTGTGGTGTTTAGCAAATTACTCTTTCCTTCCAGGTATTACATGTGCAGCAAAGTATCAGTTAATCAGTGTGGAACATGTAATGATGGCAATTCATTTTAATCTAGGAAAGGCCTCAGTAAGCATTGTTTCAGGAAGAGCAGGGTGACTTTCTTGACAAGGGAAGCAAATCACGCACCATCACTTTTTCCAAATTCTGAAATTTTGCAATTATGTCTCAATTGTCTTCAAAAGGAAGAATTAAATCCTATCAGTGAGTCTTCATTCCTTTTTTTTTTAAAATACAGGTGGCTTTCTTCTACCACTCCATAAACAAAAATCATAGCACTAAATACATCTCAATAGGTTTCTATTTTGCTACATTTATCTATGGTAATCTAATCAATACAATGCATCAGTCATGTAGTCCCTTCTTTTTTGTCATCTAAATGTCATCACTGTATACCATCAGGCTAAAGCTGATCTCTAAAATCATCTTAGCAATATGTGTAGTGGGGGGTGGAGGGGCATAGATGTTAGGGTCGGAAGGGACCTCAATAGATCATCGAGTCTGGCCCCCTGCATAGGCAGGAGAGAGTGCTGGGTCTAGATGACCCCAGCATGTTAATGAAGGATTCATTTCATTTAGATTTCCATGTTGATGCCCTACTCAGGTATCCAAAAATGCATCCGCATCCTGACTCCGATCATTGAGGAAGGATGTTAAGGATCATAGGAAAGTCGGGTTGGAAAGGACCTCACAAAGTCATCAAGTCCAGCCTTCTCAAGGCAGGACTATCCCTGACCAAATCATCCCAGCCGAGCATGTGTCTAACCTGCTTGTGAATGTTTCCAAGGATGGAGACTCCGCAACTTTTCTAGGTAGCCTTTTCCAGCCTGAGCACCCGCATAATCAAAAAAGTTCCTCCAAATCTCCAGTCTAGATTTCCCTTGCTGCAGCGTGAATCCACTGCTCCTAGTCTTGTCTGCAGCAACAGAGAAAAGACCATCTCTATCCTTTCTAAATCACCCTGCGGGCATTTGTAGACTGTTACCAGATGGGTAACAATCACCTGCATCCTGATCACTGCAGAAGGATATTAAGGATGCAGCACCCCACCACCCTTTTGGCATCACCATTCCTTGCTATGCATCTACAGTCCCTTTCTGATTGAGAGGGTTGAAAACCCAACATCTTCGCAGCTTAGCCAGTGTCTCTTGAGAGAGTGGCTGAAAGCAGGGGATTAAACAACTGTTGAGTCAGAGTCTATGGGGGAGGGAAAACTTGGACCATCCGCTTCACATGACGATAAGTGTTTCGACTTCAGCACAACTGGACAGACCCAACTTATCTTGCAGGTCTGGTGAGTGTCTGTTACTTGACCAAACCAATGGCATCATCATCATCATCATCACCACCATCATCATTATTCTCATTATTTCAGCTGTTCTACTCACCCGAACCAACTGTTGTGGAAAAGGACCTCTTGAGTTTTCCGGTACATTGATTGGTGGAATGACCCAGTCTCTCTTTTGCCGTCTCAGCCCGTTTGAATTTTGGTGCTGGCGCCATGGCAATAAAGTGTCACTCTGTTGCTGTATGAGGTCGGCAGATGCATTCTTCTTTCCTTTTTGCTGTTTTTGAGGAACAAGAAAGCCAAAGAGCAATTACAGTCCCTTCCAAATAAATACTTTTAGAAAAAAAAAAAATCACTTTGAGGACTATTTCCATAGTGCCGCTTGCCTGCATGGCATGGTCACGTGGAGTTGTAAAAATTATTATTAGCATGATGTAAACATTTCTGCATAACAAAGGCATAATAAACTATATTGGCATCTCTGCTGCCACTTCATTTTCACAAACGTATGGAGCTGTCATTATTAAATCAAGCTGCCTTCCAGAATGTATTGTCTTCATTATGCCAACTGCAGGAAGCTTTAACAGCACATTGGATAAAGGCGTCTGCAAATTTATCATAAATGCAATCTGTCAGGAATAAAAAAGGAAAAAAACCAACAAGTTTCTCTACAACATCAGCGGTAGGTTTAGCTCCATTGTACCAAGTTCACCTGCTCTCTGGCATTAAGACAGCTCCAGTGACTTGCACTATATGATTTTATAGATGTGTGCTAGATGGTCCAACAAATCAGGGCTAGAAGATGATCCTGCTCTTGTGTTGAAAAGGTTAATTAGCTCAAACTCAAGCTCCATGTCAATTGTCTTCTTTGTTTTAAAGATGGGGTTTTAAACTGCATAAATATATATATGTCCTCAGTTATGTGAAAAGCGAAATGGTCTACTATATCTCAGCTTGCAAATGGCTTTCGTTTTGAACCATGTGGTGATCTTCAAAATTTGGGTTTCAGTTTTATCTCTCAAAGACCAAAGATACTGGAGATAAAGTTTGCAGCAATTTGCATTTGGCCAGTTCAAGAAAAAGATTGTGCCCACGGCAAAAATTGGTCCTACTCATAAGAAAATGGCTGTTGCCACTGGTAGAAATGCTAGAATCATGGCTTTGGATTTGCAGATGTGAACATTTCAGAAGGCCAAATCAGAGAAATATAGTACAGGAAACAACCTCAAGAGGTTAGCAAGCCAGTTCCCCCAATCTGAGATGGGCTAAATGCAAAAATTGATGAAGACAAATTTTTCCAAAACTTAAACATTATCTGCACTTCTCAAAGGCAACAAATAAATGGTGGGACTGGGAAGGTGTCATGGCCAGGATTGTGCGCCAGAGACAGGAAAAAGCCACAAAGCTTTGTCATATTTGTCCATACCCTGCATTGTCACAGCATCCGTACTTGACTGGCCAACACTGGTATAAAAGTAAGTACTAAAGTACTAAGTACTTACTTAGCTAGCGATGAGCATGGGAACAGCGTCATAATGTAGCCGTGAGAGGCACTTCTGGTATTGTACTAGGATCAGCGTAGGCGCTGTTGAAGACAGCTTTGGCAGACCCTGAATAGTATAGTATTTCTAATAGGCCTCACCCCAGTGGCTTCCTCTTTAACTCATCTCAGACTTTTTTCCTCTAACACAACAAAAAAACAATAGTACCAAAGAAGACACCAGAAACGATCGTTTCAGAGTAGGCTTATGGCACTCACTATGAGAAAGTTTTATACCCCTTTTGCTTTGTTTTACAGTTGGCTTTTGGTCCCTCCTGGGCTTCCTCCGAGAACAGGTATTTGGATCGGTTTATGTAATTAGCATGTGAACATGGGGACAGATTATGAACGGATGGTCAAATAATTTGTGCTCGGTTGAGTTTACACAGTGGAATGAATCTGAACTAAAGACAGACTTGAGAATTAAAACAAATCCCAAAGCTCCATGTATACTGAAATAATTAGTGTCAGCTCAGCAAGGCAGTACCAGCCTTTTTAGTTTTTATAAAATATTTGCTGGCAGGTGACTAGACAGTGCCTAGCTTGCTTGTCACTCCTGATGATGTTTTCCTACATTAGAATAAATCGCTGACACGACTCTGAATTTGGGATGTGGAATTTCAAAACCGCTTTGCAACAACAATCTTTTTTTCTTTTTTTTTTTTTAAAAACCCAACTTTTTCATCTTCATTTGTTGCTGATATGTTTCTCAGAGCCTTAATTTCTCTTGTGTTGTTTAAATAAGTTGTACACGTTTTTCTGCTGTTTAAAAGCTGTGAGACAAATGTAGTAACAAAGTCTGGTGAGAACGAATGCCAGACCTATTCAGTCTTCTGACTGAAATATCCAAGAACATCCCTGGAATAGCAGCAACAATTAACTATAATCCCCAACAAAATACCATGTTCTTTTGAACATGCAAGGATCTAGAGCCCAAATTAAAATTCAGAATGTAAATATGGAAGCTTAATTAAACTAATTGCTAATATGGCTTCCAATTTTATTTTTGCTGTGAAACAGTTTTCACTTTGCAAAACGACTGTTCGTTCCCACTTGAACCCACTGGCTCTGTGCTTTTTAGAGTCTCTCAGGCAGTGGAATAAGACAGATACATTTTTGGTCCACAGAAAATAAAATGGTCCTCTATTTTTCTCTGGTTCACCTGACTGCTAATTATCTATCTGGATACTTATACAGTTTCATTCTTCAAATACTGGAGCACCACAAGCTCTGGTGCCTCGCACCATCTCACAACACACCTGCAAGGTAACAGATCCTCCATTTTATACATGCACAGTTAGAAAGATTTCCCCAAGGCGACAAAGAGAGTTTTGTTGCTGTGCAGGGTCTTGAATGCCCGTCTTCCACAACCCACACTAGTAACCTGAAGAATGAACCACTCTTCTTTCTACTTTCTAATACAGGCAGTCCTCGACTTAAGACGTTTCGAGTTACAACGAACGACACTTATTAATTGACACCGTTTTGACTTGATGATGCTTGAGCCGACATTACGCCACGCCAGCCAGGGAACAAGTTCACCGCGTCGCCCATCTCCCTGGAGAACATCTGTCCAAACGTCCTTGGACACTTTCTTTAAGAAAGCAGACGAGACTCCAGAAAAACCTGCAGCCAAGACTCCTGAGGAGACTCCAGCCAAGAGCCCTTCAAAAAGTCCAGCAAAGTCACCTCAAAGAAGTCCTTCCAAATCAATATGATTGCTATTTACAATATAAATACATTAATGTAGCTATATTACTCGTCTGTAATTGATTGAGAACAAAATTCTGGGTTATTTTTGGTGAAAATAGGGTATTGGGCATTGGTTCAGGAACCAATCCCCCATTTATAACATTGTTCCTATGGGGAAAATCAGTTCTGAGTTATGACGTTTCGACTTAAGACGCGGTTTCCGGGAACCAATTGTGTCATAAGTCCGAGGACCGCCTGTACCATAAACTCCATTTCGCTCTCCCCCAATCTGCGTTTTCCGTAAGGCCATGTTCTGGACCCAACTTTTACTTCTGCCTAAGCCAGATTTGGTTCAGGAACAGGCAAGGGAACAATGGTAGGCGACGGTGTCCATGTGAAAAGCCCAGTCCAACTGTAATTCTGCCCTGACTACCGAGGGCCTGCCTACAGAATAGCAGCACCCTCTCCTCCAGGCTATGTTCCCTGAAGCAGGATAAATGGGACACGATGAAATGCAGAATTAGGCCTTCGAACTCTTAGCTCATTATTCCATCTACCTACTCAGCAAGATGCACAGATATGGACTCAGGGAAGAACTGTGCCTCCTGGTGCTTATTATTGCCTCTGACAGCCAGCTACGCAGGTCACCATAGATATTTGAGGGGAAAGGTGGCTATGGACTCTCACTCCTTCTCATTATCTGGAATGGAAAAGGATGCATGTTCTGGAGTGCAGAGTCCATGCTCCCCTAAGAAAATGGACTATGGCTGTCCTTAGCCCTTGTGCATTAGATGTATATAAGAAGGCCCTCCTCTTGCTCTCCCCAAACCAGTGTAATTGTTCCACAGACAGGAACAAGCTGACCCTTATTATTATAATTGCAGGCCCCAAAGTATCCTATTTTCTCTTGCTGATTCTCTATGCAGCTCAGTGGGTACAAACGCATTGTGACAGTCACAGGAGCTTTCTATTTTAGGTATGTCTAAGGCTCTTAAACAGGCTGGCATAGCTTGAGTACTGGTCAAAAAGGAAATCTAATTCAACTTTCTGTTAAAGTTTCCTTCCCATATCTGTTGTGAAAAGATGACATTTAAAATGGGTATCATTGTGGTCAAGCTCCATACATCTAACAGGCAAACAAGGACTTCAACAACAGAGCCAATAAAAGGAAGACAGAAAGAAGATGTAGTCATTCAATAAAGATGCTCAACAAAAGCAGCTAGGAACCAAAACTGGGATGAACAGGCTCAAGTTAAAGGAAGGCGAGTGAAGATAAAACATGGGGTTGAAGGAAACAGTTGCAGGGCAGACCGCTTGGGGAAGCAAATTTGTTACCAATTTTGAATTAGTGAAATCATATACTCATGTTCCAGCAATAACGGAATATAGGTATATTTAGTCATTCAAAGGTATCAGAGCAAAATGATAAAAGGATTGCTACTGCAAGTAACTCAAAGGACTCAACATGAGAGTTGTACAAGGACTGAGAGCTGTACTATGGACCGTATACATTCTTGGCAGGTAGGGTCTGTCTTTTTGTTCTGTGTTTATAATGAAATCAGGATCTGTGACAAAGGCTCTTAGATGCTACAGCACTGCAAACAAACAATACTAATGATGAGGATGCAGAATTTGTGCTAATAAAATACTTCTTGCTCTCTGAAAAATAACACTCAAAATAGTCACTGTAAACCTCTGTTACTTTGGATGGAGCAATGACTTGCCTTCTCTCGCAGAGCCTGAGCAGGAAGGACGGGTGCAGATACCTGCAGCCTTAGGAGCCCCCTCATTCTTCTAGGACTCTTGGAGAAACTGGACTGTGGAAAGGTGGATGACTCTCCCCCACACTTATAATAATTTCCCTTCCATTCTGCATTTTCCTTGTAGGACATGTAATCTAAACAGATTTATAAATGATTCCAGAGTATTCTCAATATTTAACATATATGTACATATATATTGCTCCTTGTTAAGGGGATGCCCTGAAGCCTGTTCCGGTCAATGGGAGACCTTCTGTTCAGGCAGCAAATATTGGTCAAGCCCTA